AGTATTCGCGAGATCTCAAATTTTATGTCAATGACATGAAATGGACCCACCTCGTTACATCCGCTTAGGGCTAGGCAAATTGAATGATCGATTCGAATATTCGGGTCGAACATTCGAGGCCTTTAAATTAATCGAACAATCCGATTATCGAATATTTGAGTGCCCTGGTCGATCATTAGTTCGAAAAGCGACGGTCACTTCCCAATTTGAGCTCTTCGACCTACAACGGTCAGATATTGAAATCACCTGAGACGACTTGGATTCTCTGCGCGTGCTACGGTAGACGTCGCAGCGTGCAACCCAAAAGTAAAGCAAGACCCCGATATCCCGCGGTACAAGGTATGTGACAGAGATCCATGTACCCGTATAAACGTTCCTTTCTACTCACGAAGTGCCCCACCTCGCGCCGACCCTTTTGGCTGTGTGTACAGGTCGTTAATGCAGATCAAGCCCCAGGCCAAGATATTTTTCGTCGTGTGGTGCGCCAGGAAGGTATGCACTTGTTATGCAATGGGATAGGCGTAAAGAGCAGACCAAGTCGATCACCACGGAAGTGGTCAGGAATTACGTCAAGATGTCATGCTAGGACTTCCTAAGTGGATCAGGCCTCCTAGGCATGCACCCTGTATCCTTTGAAGCAGATGTAAGCGTGACGCGACGCGCAGTCCAGCCATCCGGCCAAGAGTGAGCGCAAAGTTCGAACCCTGAATTTGGTCAGCAGTAATTATCACGTGTCCTTTCGAGAGTGCCCCTCGTGACTTCTGTAGTATCAAGCCAGTAGACCAAGGAATGTGGAAGGATAATGTTCGTGTCTTGGTAGATGACAGAGGTGGTTTCCATCCTACTTTTGGCTTACAAGTGATAAATAGCTCTAACACAGACGATCTGACCTCTTGATAAGCGAATCTTGAACCTGCTAAAAGTGTATTGATCCTTTAGCGTACTACTAGCGTGCCTCCCAATTAAGCCAATGTCTAAGGCATCAACTTGCGCGAATGGTGTGTGCCCCCAGCAAACACCGTTCGTCAGTGACCAACAGGCTTGTCTCGGAGAAAGCTCGTTCCGATGATGTTGAGGTCCCAGGAATGTCCAGATAGTCCATTGCCATATTCGCCAATTTTGGAAACGTATTTTTCTTGTGACTTCCACCACAAAAGTGGTAGTGTCATAGGACCTTCTTGTATGTCCCGCACATATATGTAGAGTTCATCAGTGGATGTCACAAGAGCCGTCCTTGGCTTCTTAAACCTTCGGCTCCCAAACTCATTAGGGATTCAGCTCTACAATTCTGTGTTGGCGGCATCCAATACGCTTGTTTTATAGCCTGAGGTGTATATATGTCGTGCACTTCAAAGTATATCCTCTGGGTGTTCGTTCTTGTAAGGGTCCTCATCATACCGCACAGAGTAGTAGCCAAGCCGAAATCGTGGATCGAGCAGAGTCTCCATTGTGCAGCTATAGCTTGTAATGTCGTAGTAGTGTTCAGAAGTATCCTTGCATTTATTAATCGCTCCTTTCATCTCGTTTGTGATCGTCGAAATCGATAGAAATATATCGATGTGATATCCAATAGCTCGGTGTAGAGCGGTACCACTTTCGATAGCGTAACGTACGTGTCACCGCATGTCATTTCCGTAGCGGTCTTGAAGACCCATCAAAATTTGTGAATCGTATTGACAGCGTACCACTCTGTGGCCGACAGCTTGAACGTTAAAAAGATTTTTTCTGGTGCTGCAACACCATCGCGTGCTGCGCGTCGTTGCTGTCTTTGAATTCGTGCTTCTTCATCGTCGGTCGAATCGTACATATGCTTGGCTGATGGCTTGCGTAACTCTAACGCCCAGTCCAACATGTCGTATGTTGAATTACAACGCGCTTTAACGTCCATCACAGGTTTTAAGAACTTTATTGGAGCACCCTGGCTCGTTTTCATCTATATTTGCCTTGCAGTGATCTTTCAGCTAATTCAATTTGCGAGTCGAGTATCGAGTGGCATGGGCGGTGTTTCTGATGGCGGCAATACTGCCTTTCATAATTCCGTGGCGTTCTGGACCGCTAAGTTTAGAACATACGCAAAGCAACGAAAGTGCATGTAGGGAGACAGCTTCACATCAGGCTCATCCTGTAGCTGCTTGAGCATCGTTCCGTTGTTTCTCGTATTGTCGAGGGTAAATCCCGAGGTCTTGCCTAAAATATTCATATCGTCTAATGAATTTTTTGATCACCTCTGCCATGTTCATTTTTGTATGTAAACCAGGCACGTGCACAAAATCAATCATCAGCGATTGTAGCTTCCAGTCGGCAATAAAATGCACTATTATAGCCATAAACGGGATACCAGATGGTGATGTCCAAACACCCACTGTAAAAGATAGCTTCGATTGAGGTTCCGTGAGAAGTTTGCCTATTTTCTTCCGTATTTATTCAAACGCGGCCTTGATACGGCGGGTCAACGTCGTTCTCGAATAGATATCCACGCGTCTATCAGCACCTTCACCAAGTTCCTAAAAATTTCACTCTCGATCAAAGCAAAATGCTGATCAGTTAGTAGAAGAAATTCCAAAAGTGCCGCCTCAAACTGATCTTGAATATTGACGCCAAGCAATTGCAGAACTCGGGGCACTTCAGCGCCTATGCGCCGTTGCGAGTCGTGGAGAGGCACCACCAGCTTGGTCGGATGTTTGTCTTGGATGTGCTTGGTCAAATTCGTTTTTGTAGTTTCGTTCATTCTGTAAGTTCTCTTGCAATGAACGCACTTGGCTAAGCAGGCGTCTTTGTCCACTTCAAAGTGATCATCAACTTGCTGCTGCGACGGCAGTAGCGCTGAATGATGTGTAGGCGGCACTCGAGCTTGAGGCTGCGGCGAAGGTCGAGCCTAAGGTTTCGTTGTGGACGGTATTCATTATAAATGAGGATTTTGTATTGGCTACATACAAAACATACATTAATGTAGTCAGCGGTTCTAGTCTAATGATAATGATTGGTTTTCGACTTGGTCCGAATAAATTACCTACTCCAAAGCTGTTGATACAAACTGTTTTTTAACCAAAATGCTTGTTTTAATGTATTTTTCTATAATTATTTGAGCCGAATACTCGAGCCGCTTCCAATCTTCGAGTCGAATATTCGATGCTGTCAAATGTTCGAGTCAAATTATTCGAAGGGACCTCAATGCTCGACGAATATTCGATGTGCCCAGCCCTACGTCCGCTACATGATTAGTCAGCTCACTGACTTGTACTGTGGACCAAGTGCTGAGCTGGCTACTGACGTATGACATGCGTTCGTGTGTATCGATCAAATCGGCGTACGAGCCTCAAGTCGATGTCGACAGCGATTTTTCACTCCGATTGAACTACGGGCCAAGAAAGAGCCTTCCCATCAGTACCGATCGTTGTAATCGATACGTTGCATGTCTTACACAATATGTGCTTAGATCGCGATACGATAAGCATGTGCGACTAGTTCTTCAGGCGGCATGACAGGGTACCGTATGTAGCGAGAGGATCTGCGGGTAAGTCAAAGCAGCGAGATCAGTCGCCATGACACCTAAGTGGCGGCAACTACTGACTTGGACAGATGTATGTTTTGCTTGCCGCTATCGCACGACGCACAAAAAAGCGATGAGCAATCGTTTTAGTTTGTAGCGAGTGCCCTGCGCGTGTTGTCTGTAGGATGTGACTTAGGTATCCGACGAGTACGTATCGTGAATGTGGAAGTGCGCCACGTCAAGCTATCGCATGCGCATCGAAATCAGTACAATCAGTAACAGAAAGGAAAAAACGCCCAGCACGGTTCATTTTTAGACAGCAGGTCGAGAGAGGTAGCGTACAATGATCGAATCGACGCAGTCATTGCGTATCGACCAGTCGAAGCTTTAAGTTCGAACGAGCACAAGTGACGTCGTGATGGCGTCTCGAATTGCCAAATATTGCAGCAAGCAGAGACGTGCACCTCATTTCCGTGCAGAGATGGGGTAGGTGGACGCGAGCAAAGATGCAGGGCAGAACAAGTATTCACGCCCATCGGCTGCTGAGTTTCGATGCGTACGAAACGAGACCATGCGACAGCAGTCCGCCATTAGGACCACGAGGCAGCTCATTGATGTTGGACAGGCAGACGCATTCAGATGGCCTATGCTTCTCAGGTCTTTGCCGAAACACGTCCAGCAGACTTTTTTGTCATTTACGTCTCACGATAGTAGCATTGCTGCGTAGCTTTGACTCCATCACCACAACTCCTACGCCACATGTAGCGACGTAACCGGGACCGCGTTAATGGAGCTGACTAGTCCGATATCGGTGATGGAAACGCTCTTTCGCTACGATCAATGAAGCACTCGTTCGAATGCTCGAGCCATCGAACAAAAAGACAAGAGAAATGACATTTGTACGGGAGCCAATGTCCGCTTCCATCCGTTGCATGCACAAAGTCAGCCCACAAACAGACACCCGAAGGGTTGTAGTCGGTCCGAGCAACAAAACACGTGCTACCACTCGGCCACGTAGTACCTACCTCTCTCCACCATCCCTTCTTCCCTCGTTTAATTATACCACGTAAGCCTCGATCACGATCTAATAATAACACGCACGCACGCACGCACACACGTGTCTACGCCGTCTATACGTCCAGAACCACGCTGTCCAACCAGCCATCAAGTCAGCGCGTCGACGCGCGCTCGGCGACAGCGCGTTGACCAATCCCCGTCGCTCGTGGGGCCAGAAAAATCTCAGCTGACACAATGCGAGCACATTGACCGCGCAATACACGCCGCTTCGGTCGCGATTGTCCGCTTGTCATGTCCGTACCCGCCGGCCCGTTGCACAAAAAAAGGGTCGAAACAGGCGCTCCACTTCAGCTTTTGGCTGGCTGCGACGCCTCGTGTTCGTGTCTCATTTCTCCATTGGCGCTGCAGAGTCCACTACTGCGACTGCTGCTGCCACAATTGCTGCTACCTGTAGCTCTTTGTGCCGTCCACTTCTTCTACAGCCTGTGAAACAATGGGCAAAGGACAGCGCCTCCGGAAAGCCGCCGCCGATGCCGTATTGGCTTCTGCCCTGACGGCAAACACAGCGTCCGTGCTCGAGCAGCAACAGCAACAACAGCAGCAGCAACAGCAGAGCTACTCGTGTGTTGTCGTCAAGCCGTCTCCTCTTGAGACCGTCGAGTGTGCTGCGTCGTCTCCGTCCGAGACGTCCGTGTCGTCGTCAGATGACACGGACGAGCTTCGGGACTTGGCCACAGAGGACCAGCGCGCAGCTTTCCAAGCACTTTTGGACGACAAGGACGCGGTCAAGTCGAAGCTCGACGCGATGCTGTCGCGTCTCGTGGCGGCGTTCTCGTCCAAGGGCGAGCGCACGGCTGCGGCTGTGGACCTGAGCGTGGCGCTGGAGATCACTGGGCTGGGCAGTCCAGCGGCGGTGCACGTGCTGGACGAGCTCAAGACGTCGCTCGTGGCCAAGCCGACAGCTGCGCGTGAAGGCGCGTTGCTTGCGCTCGTGGCGCTGTGCAAGCGCGACGCGCTGTCGGTGGCCATGGAACCAGTGGTTGTCGAGCAGCTGACGGTCCTCATGCAGCGCCACGCGGACTCGGAGCACGCGGTGAAACACGTTGCAGTGACGCTGGCCAAGTGGATCGCCCTGAAGGTGAACCCACTGGCGATCCACTCGGTGCTCAAGCAGATTTACAAGGCACTCGAGCTGCGGCAGTGGCAGAGCAAAGTCGCGGCCTTGAAGCTGCTGAAAGAGCTCAGTGAGACAGCTAGCGAAGAAGTGTCTGGCTGGCTGCCCGAGATCATGCCGATCGTGACCGAGTACGTGTGGGACACGAAGAAACAGGTGCAAGCTGCATCCATTGAGGCGCTGATTGCCGTGTGCTCGAAGATCAGCAACGACGACGTTGTGCCCCTTGTACCGACGCTCGTTGGGGTCATTGCGCGTCCAGAAGAGACCATGAAGGCGATTGACAGCTTGTTGGCGACGACGTTTGTTGCGAATGTGGACGCACCGACGCTGTCGCTGATTGCGCCGCTACTGCACAAGGCCCTGCGTGACACGAGTATCCACAGCTCGTCGCTCAAGCGCAAGGCGTCCAAGATCATTGACAGCATGTGTCGTCTCGTCGTGCGTCCATCGGACGTGATGCAGTTTGTGCCGCTGCTGTTGCCGCAGCTCGACACGGCCATTGACCGTCTGATTGACGCCGAGGTCGTGGAAGCTGCAAAAGAAGCTCGCGCTCACCTGGTGCATGCTGCAGGCGACGGCGAAGCGATGGACGAAGACCCGATTGAGATCCGTGGGAAGTTGGAATCCGACATTCTGACTGCGTTCGTGGATACGCTCGACCACTTGATGCACCGCAGCTTGAGCAGCTTCACGCTCGAGTACGTCACGGACGTGTGCACGGAGCTAGCGACCCAGAATCGCGGATCCGAGTGGCGCACGATCGTCCTGGCGTACCTCATGCCGCACATGTCCAGCAGCGATGCCGAGCACGTTTGTGATGCGTTGCGTGCTGCTGGAGGTGGACTGGGTGAGGAATGCGCCAAGTCCACCGACCCGAACGACGTGTGCGACCTCGACTTCTCCCTGGCGTACGGTGGCAAGATCTTGCTGCGCAACGCACGCCTCCGTCTGACTCGTGGCCACCGCTACGGTCTGATTGGCAAGAACGGCGTTGGCAAGACGACGCTGATGCGGAACCTCGCAACGGGTGCGATCGAAGGCTTGCCCGAGACTTTGCGCTCAGTGTACGTGCAGCACGAGGACATTGTCGAGAGCCAGGGCAGCTTGCTCGAATCCATGTGCAAAGCTCCGGAACTGGCCCATCAGACTCGTGCGGCTGTCGAAACGACGTTGACGGACATTGGCTTTACGCAGAAGATGCTGGACGGTGAGATTGACGCGCTGTCTGGTGGGTGGCGCATGAAGTTGGCTCTGGCGCGTGCCATGCTGTACAATGCCGACGTGCTGTTGCTGGATGAACCGACGAATCACTTGGACGTCCACGCGGTGCAGTGGCTGGTCGACTACCTCAACTCGCTCGACACGATGACAGTGTTGCTCGTGTCGCACGACACGGGGTTTTTGGACAATGTGTGCACGGACATTTTCCACTACGAGTCGAAGAAGTTGGTGCTGTACCCCATGACGTTGTCGCAGTTTGTGGCTATCCACCCCGAGGCAAAGCACTACTACGAGCTCAAGTCGTCCGACATGGTGTTCAACTTGCCCGAACCAGGTCGCCTCGAAGGGATCAACTCGATGACGCGTCGGATCTTGACGCTCGAGAACGCCACGTACTCGTACCCTGGCGCCACGAAACCGCAGCTCGAAGACGTCTCGGTCAAGCTGTGCCTGGCCTCTCGTGTTGCTGTGATTGGCGTCAATGGCGCAGGCAAGTCGACGCTGATCAAGATGCTCGTGCAAGAGACGTCGCCCGACACGGGCACGTTCTGGAAACACCACGCGGTGCGCGTCGCGTATGTCGCGCAGCACTCGTTCCACCACGTGGAAAAGCACTTGGACAGCAGTCCCGTCGAGTACTTCCAGTGGCGCTTTAATGGCGAGAATGGCGTCGACCGCGAGCTCGGGGACCACGTCAACTTGAAGCAGTCGGACGAGGAGAAGAGTCTGTATGGCCAGAAACAAGGTCAAGTGGAGAAGATTGTGTCGCGGACCAAGGGCAAACGGGGAACGCTCGAGTACGAGTGCAAGATGGTGGGCCTCACTGAGCGCCACAACAAGCGGTTCACGCTCGAGCAGCTCCAGGACATGGGTCTAGGCGCCTTGGCCGAAGCCGAAGACATTCGACAAGCCACTCTGTCCGGTGGCCTCGACCTGCGGCCATTGACCACAAAGGAGATCCAGCGCCACTTGGACGACTTTGCACTACCTGCTGAGTTTGGGACGCACGGCAACATCCGGGGCCTCTCGGGTGGCCAGAAGGTCAAGTTGGTGATTGCGGCGGCCATGTGGAACCGCCCGCACCTGCTCGTGCTGGATGAGCCAACGAATTACTTGGACCGCGCGGCACTGGGGGCATTGGCCGACGGCATTCGGCAGTATGCCGGTGGTGTGATTATGATTTCCCACAGCGAAGAGTTTTACAACTCGCTGTGCACGGAAAAGTGGCTGGTGGAAGCCGGTCGCTTGACGATCATTGGCGAGGCGCAAGAGAAGGAGTACCGCGCCGGAGGTGGCCGCAAAGTGATTGACGAGGAGCCCGAAGAGGAGAAGAAGGTGGGCAGCAACCACAATGTGAGCATGAAGCGCACGAAGCTGACGAACCCCAAGACGCTGCGGCCGCTGAGCAAACAGCAGATCCGCAAGCTGAGCAAACTGTGCAAAGCGGCGGGCGTGTCGTTTGACGACTTTGTCGACAGCCTCACGCGCGAGAGTCCCGAGTGGAAGTGGCTGTAGGCAGGCGGCAGTAGAGAGTAATTTAGGACGGTAGGACGGTAGGACGCACGATGCCATAATGAATATACACTTGAGGAGACGTTAGACGCAAGAGAGGAGTGTGAACTGAGTGGGGCTTTCCTTGGAACGAACTGTCCACTCGCTTATTGACATTGAGGGAAAACAAGGCACAGTTTGGGCCATCTGCTCTTCTTGTGCCTATTTGAGGTTTCCGAATAGTGACACTTTTATCTGGATAAAACTCGAGTACGTGTGCGTGCGCCTGACGTGCGCACTACATTGGGATACAGCAGACAGCTGACGCTCGCCTCGTCATTGGATTGTTGGCAACATGTCCCACGACTTTTGTCCCATGAAGCCAATCGCTCTCGTTCGCTGTGCTTCTGTCGTCCGATATGGAACACTATCGACGGGACATGCAGGACAAATGTTTCCCGCGGCACACGCACTTTCGCGCTGATGACAACCCGCCGAAGTCGAAGCCGCAGCGCATTACGAGCGCACTTGTCGCGCGCTCGTCGTGACCAATCGAGTCGTGAACGCCGCCGTAGCGACGAGCAGCAGCAGAGCGAACGCCGTCACATTGCAGCCAGTCGACGCAAGAGAAGTCGTTCGCCGAGTCGCAGTCGAAGCAGTAGCAGTGAAAGGAAACTGCACCCGAAGCCGCGAAAGCCAAAGAAGAAGAAAAAGGAGGAGAAGAACAAGCGCCACAAGGAGAAGAAGCGGCACGTGCGGGGAACGATGCAGGAAGAAGCAGCAGAGCGTGTCGAGGCAGACGTGGCTCCCATCCAGTGTCCCGTTCAGCCAATCACGGAGCCAGAAGACCGACAACCCGCGCACGCGTTGCCTCTTGACGTCAAGAGCTTTTTCGAACAGCTGCAACGGCAGGAGGTCGCCAAGAAACCAGTGGGTACTGTGCACTCGCGCGGCGTCGCTGCACCCGTTTCCGCCACGGCGATCGCCAAGTCGGACAAATGGGAGTGCAGCAAAGCCACGTGCGGCCACACGAACTCGAAGCACGCGCCGGCGTGTACGAAGTGCGGCGCAATGAAACGCATGACGGAGTGGAGATAACGAAAGGAAATGAATGGACCAAATGGAACAAAATGAACCAAATGGAACAAAATGGACCAAATGGAAGGAAATGGACCAAATGGAATACAGAAAGCGACGAAATGTCGTCAACGTCGCGCTTTAGCGAATGTGTGGTGTGGTTGAATGTGGCTAAAAAAAGGCTGGCGACTGTTTCGCCACGCGTGTTTTGAGGTCTGTTGGGTCTTTTGTGCGCAAACAAAAAGTAGGGGGCCGACGGCTACCGTCGCAGAAAGCCGTGGGCCGCTTCCTTTTTGTGCACACACAAATATATATATATATATAGTCTCGACAACTAACTCTCTTCCCTTTAGCGCCAGTCGCCAAAACAGAAAAAGCAACGCACGCTGAACCAGATGACGACAGCTTCTGGAACAATCCAGTCGAAATTTTCCCCTCAAGCAGTAGTCGCCTTGCGAACAACCACAACATAACAACAACAATAACAACAACAATAACCACAACAACAACAACAACAACAACAATAACAACAACAACAACAACCACCAGAGATCGAAAGCCACTGTCGTCAGGCCGACTGACCGCCCAAACGATCTTCACTGTAGGATCCCGTCGCTTTTTCGTACCTAATCAAGTCCCCCAAAACACGACATCCGCTCGTTCGGCCCGGGAAAATCTAGCTCACCACCACCCCCACCATACCCGTCTGTCTGCCCATCTATCTGCCTATGAACTATCCATCTGCCTATGAACTATCCATCTGCCTATTAGCGACAGTATCTGCCAATCTAATCCTCTCGCTCACTCGTTCACGCTATCTATTCGAGTGGTTGTTTACCGGTCTGCCCCTTCAAGCGACCGCAGTCGTCGTCGTCGTCGTCGTCGTCGTCGTTATTGTCGTTGTCATTGTCGTCGATTGTCACCTCAGCCTTCGCCGGTGCGTCGTCGCGACCACAAGAGCCACCGCGCATCGACCCGACCCGCGGCCGCTTCCTCTCCGCTCTCTCCTCCGCCACACGCACTCAGCGATTCCGTCCGCCGCCTCCACATGACGGACAGCGAAATCCTCCGCACGGGTGTGCTGTTCAAAAAGGGCTCTGGCGCCGGTCCATTCGGCCGCCGCAACTGGAAGCCGCGCTACTTTGTGCTCACGACCGCGCGGCTGCAGTACTACACGTTCGAAGACGGCGAGCTCAAGGGCGAGCTGAGCCTCCAGGGCTGCGACGAGGGCGTCTTGGAGGTCATGCCGGCCGACAGCATGAAGACCGGCAGCAGTGCGTCGACCATCTGGCGCGTGGCCATTAATGCGCCCGAGCGGCGGCTGCTCGTGGCCGCCGGCACAGAAATGGAGATGAACGATTGGGTCGATAAGCTCGTGCTGGCGTTCCGCCTGAACGCCGGGCAGCCCGTGCTCCAGCGCGCGTCAATGCCGACGTCGTCGTCGTCGGCGCTGTCGTCGGCTGGTCGCTTGACGGCAATGCCCCACTCGGGCAACGGCAGTCACGCGAGCGGCAGTAGTGGCGTGAATTGCAACCCGTCGATTCGGGATTTCCAGAACTTTGCTGTCCCGCGGCGGGGCATGGGCCAGCGCCATAGTACGGGTGTGGACACGCGCGCGACGAGGGGGCCGGACGAGGCAGTGGTGCGCTCGGCACGTGGAGGCAGCAGCAATAGCAGCAATAGCAGCAGTGAAGGACAGGTGAGGATGCAGGAGGAAGACGAGGAGATGGGGTTGCAGGAGTTGAAGGTGGGGGAGGAGGTGCCGGTGCATTTGCAAGACGACGAAGAGAAGGAGGAAGGGGAGAAGGACGTGCTGGCGTGGCCGATGCCGAGTGATGGGGACGGCGAAAAAGCAGAGAGAAAGAAAGCTGCGGAACAAGACGCGGCGATGCGGCGCCAGTTGGCACTGCAGCAGCAGCAGCGGCAGCAGGAAGAAGCGGCACAGGCTGCAGCACGTGTGGCTGCTGCTGCTGCTGCTGAGGAAATGCAGCGTCAAGACGAGCAGCAACAGCAGCAGCAGCACGAGACGATGACGGAACAGGCAGTCGCGTCGCAGGCAGCGGCGGATGACGTGTTGGAGCAGCAGCGACGTCGGAAGCGCGAGAAACACGCGCGACGACGTGCCGAGCACGAGAAGGCCGTGAAGCTCAAGCTCCAGCTCCAGCAAGAGCAGGAGCAGGCGGACTTGGCGTTCCGTCTGACGCAGCACACGGACAGTGTGGGTGCGAGTGAGCACGAGAAACAAGTGGGAAGTGCGTCCGTGTCGATGGCAAAAGGAGATGATGATGAGGTGGAGGACGATGATAGAGATGACCAAGAGGCTGTTGGTGGTGGTAGTGTGGCACGTGCACCTGGTGGTGGTGCTGCTGCTGCGCCGCGCTCGTCACTGGTTGGCGACGTGAAGCGTGAGATGATCCACAAACAGCAGGCAGAGCGTCACCGTCGTCGTGAAGCGGCGCTCAAGCAGGTAGCAGTGGAGCAACAACGTGTCAAGATGGAGGAAATGAGCGTGGAAGAGGATAGCAGTGACGAAGTCGCCCCTCGTGTCGTGGAAGTCGCTCCTCGCGAGATCGAAGTGGTGCGACGAGTGCCAGTGAAGAAGCAGCCGGCGCCAGCTGCTGCCCCGATGGAGAGTTTTGAGTTTTGACGAGCGCGCGACGCCCTGGACATGCACGTGCGTACGTTGGTTGATACACGTACGTGCGGGTATCTTCTCGTGCTGCATCTGATGGTATTTCTCGGAAGCGGCACATAACAACAAGGAGGGTGGACGTCCCGGTCAGTACGACAACAAACACAGCCAACCAACAAACCAACGAACAAACCAACAAACAAACAAACAAACAACAATTTATTTGTGAGACAAAGTGGCGAATGGCTGTTGTGTGTGTCGATGGTGTTGTCTCGTTGTGTCTAAGTGCTGCAAATTGGCTCCAGTTAGTGCGATACTGAAGCTGAGAGCACAATGTCAGCAGAAAAACAGGCGACATTACAGGTGCCGGCCGACCAGTCCTCTTAATGTAGTAGACGTGAACAACGAGAGCTCTAACATCGCGTCACCCGTGGCTTTCGTCACGCCAGACCGCGAGTCTACACTGACCTTACACACACACACATATGCCATCCTGTGTCGTCACACACTCACGCACAGAGCTTTGTGACTCACTGCCGATCGGCTGACATTTTCATCACCTTCCGCTAATGACGGACTCTACCACACTGACGTAGCAACACACGACGCTGCAAGATCATCACCAAGTACACTCAACTTGATGCGTCACAAGATGCGACCACTTTCCGCCGACATTCAGCACATAGAGCGACTTCCAAGACGGCAAAAGGGACCACTGTTCACCTCCACACCCATTCTCTCTTTCTCGCTCTCTCTTCTTCTTCTCCTCTTTCTCGTCAGTAAGCCACTACTACAGTGTCCGTCTACTGGTCCTCCTTCGGGTCCTCTTTCGGGTCCAGGTCCGGCATATCGTCGTCCTCACTGTCGCTGCCGTCTCCCCCCATCATGCCAGCTGCATTTTGGGCCGCCATCATCTGGTTAATGTCAAAGCCGCCGCCGCCATTGAGCGCACTCATGTCAAAGCCACTTTGTCCCTCTTCCTCGTCCTCGTCGACATACTTGCTCCAGTCCACCTTGACATTGGTCTTCTCCAAGTGCTTGTCGGCCAGCAAACGCGGCCAAAACTCCTCGTCCTGGAGCTTCTTCACAATGTAAAAGTGCAGATTGCGGTCCGTCTTGGCCCAGATACTCTCCTTCGACTCAGCGTCCACTTCTTTGAAAAAGTCCAGTGTTACTTCATACTCCTGACCGTTGCTCGTGCCTCTAGGAACACATAACATCCACATCCACAACGCACAAAAGAACAAAAACAGATCGTATCGACTCTATAGATAGCAACATCACAGAACAAAAAAAAGAGACAAACAGCGTCGTCGTCGTGCGTACTTAAACGTTAAGTTCGTGTTGCTCAGCGTCACTTTCTCGTCCTTCACGTCTGGCAGATCCACCGTAACGTACAGCGCCTCTTTGCGCTGCGCCCACTTGACAGGCGCCCACAGCGGCTTAGTCTCGGCCATGATCTCTCTCTCTTTCTCTTTCCCTTTGTCGCTGTCTCCTTCTCGGCTACGGACGTGCAGTAGGAAACCAATTGAGCGACTGGTCTCGAACGAAGCTTTGGTACTGACCGACTGACTGAGCTTCGAGAACGTTTGGCCGGAGCGAGACGAGTGGTACACACGAAGTATGCCATTCGACAGGTTTGAGAGGAGGTACGGACCGCGATGTCCGCACACGCGATCCGCGATGAGGGGACTCGTACATTAGGCAGTTGAGGCGGTTGCTCTTCTGTCTTTGCATACCCTGTAAGAAGTAATGGACTACATAAAAGCGGAGCTACACAGCGCGTTGTTGACTTTTTTGCACGACCGACATCGCCCTGTGCTTGGCCAAGCGTGTATACCGAGACTTTATACGCTTGAGGGCTCTGGACTCGCGGTTCAAAAGGGTCGACTGTTCATTACGTCATTTCCTCCTGTTGCGTCATTTCCTCTGTTGGTCTCGGTGTGATGTCGCCAATTCGTGCTTAATAGGTAGCTCTGATGTGACAGTTCGCGCTGTACATGGCGAAAACACATATTCGCACGGAGATCACTTTGTGTAGCTCGTATCGATTTTTTTGCCGCAATTGACACGGCCAGCAGAAGAGAGATGAAGTGAGAGCTCAGCTGCCCATCTTCGCTTGTTGCTTCTGCCGCCACGCTCGCTTTGCGGTAGACGCACGGTCGGAACGTATGCGACAACTGTGAGCGTCAAATCCAGCTACCGTAAGTAAGTTCCTCCATCTACTATGCATGCGTCTTTTTACATTGGCCAACGATCCAGAACTTGCCATAGACCTCAATGTACAGGCAGAGTAAGTCAGATATGTCGCAGCACTCGGTAGCACCACAAGATTGTCCGATGGGGAACGGTGTGAACCAGCTTTACGTCAAATCAAAGTCAGGCGTGGCGCTGAGCAAGTGCTCGTATGCATGCAGTGAGCAGGCGACCCACACGAGAGCAGTTTTTCGGATTGTTCTCCTCAGAGTGCACAGAGTCACTCGTTGATCTGCTGTATGGCAGTCTCCAGGCTCTCATCTGTCGGATCGTAATGCTGTGCGATGCGCAGAAATGACGCGATGGATTTTATAGACATGATCATCAGCACAGACGCGCAAGAATGTACACAAACACATGTGTGTTGAACAACACACCCAACATGTCAAGCAACGGCTGACAAGTATTGCTGTAGGACTCACAACGCACGTGCAGAAGATGTGGTCTTTCCAAGTCCTTGCTACGGTGCGAGATGTGTTCTCCATAAGTCCAATACCCAATTTCCATTCCAAAAAAAAAGCTAGACATTTGCACCGGTCTGAGAAAAGATCCGGAAATGGTCCAGCGCCACAAATAGACCAATAATCGCACCTGGTGAAAAAACACGTACAAAAGCTATCCCGAATATCCGCGATCGGACGTTTCTCTCTTGTTCAGCTCGCAACTGACTCTGTTCTTACCGTGCAGACGTCGCACATATTCGGTCGAAATCAACTCAAAAATCGCCGTCCGTGGGACAGCCGTGCGGTCACTTACTTCCTCCCATTCCTTCATCGGCCTCGACGAGAAACAGCGACTGACCGACTGACTGACTGACTGACTGACTGACCGACTTCCCGATTAACGGACTCTCGACACCGACTCATGTGCTGCTGCTGCGACGACGACTGCTGTTGCTGCCTCTGCGGGTCACTGACCGCCCTATGCTGCTGCTGCAGAGACGACAAGCGCCGTGACGACCGCCGCAGCCGCCGGTCTTCGCGGCACGACCGCGTGGTCTACGTGAACCCCGTTGTCGTGCAGCCCGGCCCGCCGCAACACGGCTACCACCAGGGCGGCTACTACAATCGAGTGTAGCCGGCTCGAGGCGCGAGACTCTACGGACGACGACGAGACGGCCGAGGATGCCGCAGTCATGTATAGCGCGACCGTATCGTGCTTTTTACCGCACTGAGCTGCACTGTGACGTCATGGGAGCGACACCATTAGAGCTAAACCTGCATTGAACAAAGTGGGGTTATGTTTGGGCTGCGAGTCAGTGTCAGTGTTTGTGGTTTCTGTGGTCGGTGTCTTGGGATGTCACAAAGTCGGTGAAAAAAGAACGACACGTGCGACTTTGTGCGCACGTTCGATCGACGGCGGAAGTAATCACGAGCACTGTATTGTCCCACGACTTGTTGCGATACTGAATAGCACGCGAGAGTAGGGGTGGACAGGACCATACAGAGCTGGAACGAGAGGCCCCTCGCGCAGCGACCACACAAAGTTGACAGCAGCTGTTCGTGGCATCAGTGTCTGACGCGCGGACTCGGACCGCTGTTGGACACTTGGGCGCCTGCTGCTATCGCGGCGACGGCGGCGCCGATCGTCATGATCGAGACCCCCTTTTTCTATCTCTGCATGTCGTCATGCCACTGCAACTGGTGCCTGACGCCAGGTCCGCCTCTTCACGCACACAAAAGTGCACTCGACCGCATCACAATCGATCGCGTTGCTTAATTGCTTGGCAAAACACGTTCGAAACAGGCGCTGTCCATGATGTCGTTTTTGCACGACAAAATGTAGCAGTCTTGGAACTCGTTGGACCTCTTGTTAGCTGCTTGAACTTGAGGCAAAACACACACACACGAGCAAAGAAGTACAAGGGCTTTGCGGTCAGTATCAACTCTCTCGTGCCGAGACCATCAGTAAGGAAGTCTTGCTTTTTCCGATAACTCTCTTACGGACTATATCCGTCTGCATATCACGAAAAGAGCTTCCGTTTCTTGCCATCAAAAGCTGGGATAGTGGTTCGCAGTAAGGAGGTCTTATATGTAGTAATACGTCGGTTGGCGCGGATGAGTTCCGTTGGAGTCGCGCTGTAGTACCCTTGGACGTTGGTAGTTGCCACCTGCACTGCCGGCAGTAGCGTCCCCGCTATACTGTCTCTTTTTTTCAGCGCGAAAGACTCGGTAGACAAAGCTCGGCACTGCCTTTGCTAAATCTAAGCCTCCGAGTCGATGGAGTCGATACTGCGCACTGAAACTCAGTGGCTGGAGGACTCGCAGCACCCGATCCATCTCGGACGTGCTCTTCCACTTGTCAAGTAGGTCTGAGCACTCCTCGCACTCGGCTCCGGACGACGCAGAGCTCGAGATCTCTGGCGTATCCAAGTAAGGTATCTCGGACTTTGATGTTGTCTCGTTCCTCTTGTTAGGCATAAAGCCCCCAACGCCACACGGACGATCGTTCAAACGGACGTTCTGTAAATCCAGCGTCCGGCACAAATTGGCTTCAACTTCCGGTGCACCTCTCTTTTCCTCGTGCTTTCGCTGCTGGCGCCTCATTCTCGCGTGCATTTGTGCCTCAAAGACGTTGTTGTTCACCGAGTGTCGTGCACAGTCCCGTGGTCGTCGCGGCGACTCACGGCCTTTGGCGACCAGGAACTGGGGTGCGAGGAAAGCAAATGCTTTCCTCTGCTCAATGTAACTGCACGCCAGTGTTGCGTGCTTGTTGACGACGACGAGAATAACAACGCAGAGGTCGAGACAAAAGAACCCACAAATGCTCGACGCGAGACAAAAAGAGGAGGACAGCGTGTAGTTTAGGTCGTCGACACTACTCGAAGAGTGTCGTACAGCACCATTGCTCTTGCAACGACATGACATGACAGACTGTCGCTCGTACTCTTGCGATCTTCCGTCGATTGCCGCGAGCTCGTTTGTTGTTGCCAGGTCGGCAACAAGATGGTGCAATAGTTGGGGATAAATGGATACATGGAATGTTTTGTGAGGAAACTGTGTTGTTTATCACAGTTGAGAGGATCGGGTGCGTCCAATCTCAGTTTATTCGCTGCAAGAGAAAAAACGAACGAAGCGGTATGAGTCACACGTGCATCTGGTCGGCGTGGACAGCGGCGGTGCCGCACCGCTTTTTTGTTCCACTGGATTTTCCATTGCCTTTGTCGTCGGTGTGGTGGCTTTCATGAGCGGTCAAGAGGTTGCACAAAAGTCAAAAGTCAAAAAGCAACAAGACGCGCATACCGCACTGCACCCACCCGCCCGCCCGCTTTTCCACCATGTGCATCCCCGTCTGTATCCCGTGCGGCGACGACCTCGGCTGCTGCCTCTGTGGCATGCTCACTGCGTGCTGCTGCTGCGGTGGCAACAACAACCGCCGCCGCGCGCCTCGTCAGCGCGTCGTCTACGTGCAACCAGTCCCAGTGTACCACCGACCTCGTCGCAGCATCTTCAAAGGCAGACGCTCGAGGTGGTAGAGTCGCCAGATCTGGCGCATCCTGCAATGTTGCCGACAGACCAGTGGGGCAGCCGAAGGGGCAATCATTCGAGTACACACACACACACACACACTCACACACGCAGTGGGACAAGAACTAGAGTGCGCCGCGTGACACGAGACAGCTTTGATGAGAATACACAGGATATAGGAACACTAGTAGGCAGTAATCCCGATTTTCAACAAGTGGTTCGTCCGTTTAGACTGTACATGGCCACACGCGCTAAACTGACTTGTCGGCCATAAGAGAGGGTAACGCCGACGGTCGTGATTGGCTGAGAGGTGCAATCGCGCATGAGCCGCATCCCCCCGGATAAACAAAACAGTCGCGTCACCGATAGCTGGCCATGCTTTGTGTGGCTATCCTGTAGCTCGTAATACCTGCCAGCCTTGACGACGTTACGTGATCAAAGTGTTGCTCGTAGACGAATGACCCCAAAGTTCGAGGTCGCGTGTTTAATCGCGTCTGACATAATGGTCACACCACACAAGACACATCTTGTGTGGAGCGTATACGTGCAATCGATTGTTGTGCTCGTGACATCTTCATTGCTATCCGTACTTACTCCTGTACTAGTGAACAAACGCTTTGCACTGCTCGCATGTACGTCTCACTGACATCTCCGCGTGTCTTTGGCAGCCCATCACAGTCTTAGTGATCGCTGCCTATAGACTCACGGCAGCATGTCGTTCCACACTCACATTTGGTACCCAATCCGTTTCAACACGCGCCCAAGCGCATCCGACGAGCTCCTGCCATGCGCTCTTTCATGCATTCGCGTCCACTACAACGTGCATGCTAAACAGCTTCGACGTTACGTCTGCAGATCGTTTTCGTTCTGTTGTCGTCAAAACAAATCGAATGGACAACAAGTTGCATCTTGTCGCGATGAGTTCCAACATCAAAGCACTCGTGTATGAATGTCCTTATCTAGACTATTGATCAGGTCAGCATGAGACAATGGAACGTGAATGATAGCAGTAAACGTGTCGGGTCACACGTATCACTACGTGGCACAAACGTGTCGCGCAGTAGACGTACGAAGCCGACTGCCCGATGGACATATTTCAGCAATTATCCACCTTGTGAATGTATGTATGTAAACCGGTGAAAACAGGCGGCAGCTGGTCCCCAAATCACATACATTATTCATCCAGCGTTTGTACCGTATTTACCGCATCTGACGCATTTCAGCCCGTTATAAAGTCGACGCCAACTCCGATTTGTGTTGCAATAATCTCCTGACTCGGATCATGACGACGGAGGACGGGTGGCAGGTCCTCAAGTTCCAGCCGTGGAACAGCGCGCCAGATGTGTCGTTCTGGCAGCAACTCACGTCGCTCAAGCTCGACAAGTTCCACCTCGACGACCAGGCGCAGGTGAGCAACGATCCGTTTTAGGCGGTCGTAACCCACACACAATGCGGGACTCGCAAGTAGACTCTCTCTAAACTGATACCTTTGCTGCCCAGAACATTACGGGATATTTCACTCCAGGGCGGTCCATCAGTGTCCCAGCACGTTTTACCGTGGACGACAGTGCTTTTTCGAGTGCGGACGGCGCCCAAACGAACGTAATTTTGGGCTTTGACAGCACACATCTTGTGCCAATTCTCATCATGAACATGTGCGGTAAAAACAAACAGAGACAACGATCGTGCGCGATACGAGTGGCAAGCGCCTGGACTGCTTTTCAATACAAACACTCTCGAGGTGATGTCGGCCTGGTGGTTCCATGGCGTGTTTAACAATGGGACTCACTTGTCGGTTTTGCACCCGTGTTGTAAACGATGACAGGCTTTCAAAAATCTGGATAAAAACGCGTTGCTTCGATGTGCTGGCGAGCAGATCTTGGACTTGATACTATGTGCTGGCAGCGACGACATGGCAGTCGAACGTCTCAACAGCTTCGTCCTGATCACGTTTGCTGATCTGAAGAAACACTCGTTCCTTTACTGGTTTGGGTTCCCAGCAGTATCCCCACCAACAGCGTTCCAGTTTCGAGCGCCGCCAGTGGCAGTGTCTTCGATCTTGTCCGCTACCGAACAAGTTCAAGCGCTTCGTGCTCTACTGAGTCTACGTCCGGTGCACGTTGAGGCAGGTGCAGTAGAGGGCAACTTTCCGCCATTTTTCGTGGTTGAACGCTTGGCCGAAGACGTGGATAGTGAGGAAGTGGTGAGAGTGTTGACGATCCAGAGTTGGAGGGCACTTGATCATCGTGCGGATGATGTGGCCGAGACGCTGTTTGGCTTCGTTGATCCCTGTCCTCTCAAAACAAACCCCGGGTGGCCTCTACGCAATTTGTTGGCACTGCTCACTGCGCTTCCAGCCGGTAAACTGGATATCTCGAAATCACTGACCATCATCTCTTTCCGTGAGCATGTACATCATTTAACGACAGTACCGGATGACTTTGAGTGGCAGAACTCGATGGTCTTTGAGGTCAAAAGCGATCAAGCGTTCATGGCCAACGGTCGGTCGCGGCAAGATGTACGCGTGATTGGCTGGGAAGCTAATATTCGCGGCAAAATGGGTCCACGAACGATGGAGCTTGGTGGTATCTTGGATCCCATTCGACTCACGGAAACGTCCGTGGATTTGAATCTGAAGCTCATGAGATGGCGCCAACTGCCTTCACTTGACTTGGACCTACTGTCTCAGACCAAGTGTTTGCTGCTGGGGGCAGGGACTCTTGGCTGTTACACAGCAAGATGCCTGCTTTCATGGGGGTTTCGCCACATCACTTTTGTCGATAATTCCACGGTGAGCCACTCGAATCCCGTTCGTCAGCCCCTATTCGAGTTCCAAGACGTTGGGAAGCCCAAGGGCGAGTGCGCGGCTGCAGCGCTAAAACGCATTTTCCCGCTTGTTAACGCGCAGGCTGTGAACCTTACAATTCCAATGGCAGGCCACGCACTGAGCAGTGTGCAATTGATGGAAGAAGCTAAAAAGGGCCTTGAGACACTGGAACAACTGATTGATGCGCACGATGTCGTTTTCTTGGGAACGGATTCACGCGAGAGTCGATGGCTTCCAACCGTAATTGCTGCATCGAAAAAGAAGCTTGTAATGAACGCGGCACTCGGTTTCGACAGCTATCTAGTGATGCGCCACGGTGTCCGTCTTGACAGCGACAACAGGGATACGACGGAGCCGTCACTAGGCTGCTACTTCTGCAACGACATCGTGAGTCCCCGTGACTCACTGAAAGACCGTACACTGGATCAAATGTGCACAGTGACTCGACCGGGTCTTGCCCCCATTGCTGCAGCAACAGCCGTGGAACTCCTCGTCGCTGTGCTGCACTCGCCACAAGGAAAGCACGTGGCTGCTGACAAGCCAGAGAATGGATCGGTTCCAATGGGGTACATTCCGCACCAGCTGCGGGGGTTCTTGAATGCGTTTGCCAACATGGTGATCACGGGCGAAGCGTTTGATAAGTGCATTGCGTGCAGCTCCAAAGTGCTGGACGCGTATGCGAGGGACGGCCTGGGTTTGCTCGAAAAAGCATGCAATGCCACTGCTTACTTAGAAGAGCTCACGGGGCTGACACAGCTCACTGAAACAGCTGACCTACTTATGGTCGACCTCGAAGACAGTGACGAAGACGGTGACATGATCTAATTGACGCTGACGAGTCCTCGAAGCGTCGTATTGTAAGCGATGATATTTCACGTGTACGAACTTTCTCAAACAAGAGGCAAATGTATAACTTGACGTGATAACTACTTGCGTGCAAAGTCTCGACATTGCATCAGTCAGTCTCTCACTCAGTCACTGAGTCAGTCAGTCACTTTGTTACTGGTCCAACCGGGTGCGATCGCTGCGAGCCGTTACTTGGTAAGATAAAAAAAAACCCACCTCGCCTCCGTTATTTACGACCCGGTTGGTAATTTACGACTTTAGCTGATTGGACAGCGCGATCTCTCTCTCTCTCTCTCTCTCTCTTGTAACACACACAGCCCCAAACGCTTTCGAGCTCCCCCCCCCGAGTCGCCTCGTCTCGACCCGCCCGTCCTCCCCCCTCTCGTTCTCGTCCACTGCACCATGTCGTCGACAACCCCTCCGAACGCTGCGGACGATCAGGTGGAGCTCTTTAAGGTGAAAAAGCTCATCAAGTCCCTCCAAGCTGCTCGCGGGTAGGTGCATCCTGTCATTTATCGAAAATCGCGCGATTGTCGGTGAAAACTATTCACAACCCCCAGTGGCTCGCAAAAATAACTTTCATGTAACTTACGGTCTTTTTTCGCTTGCGCTCCAGCAATGGCACGAGTATGATCTCGTTGATTATCCCGCCAAAGCAGCAGATCCCATTGGTCGCCAAGATGCTGGCGGACGAAATGGGTACAGCATCCAACATCAAGTCGCGTGTGAATCGCTTGTCGGTGCTGGGCGCCATTACGTCCACGCAGCAGCGTCTGAAGCTCTACAACAAGTGCCCACCTAATGGACTGATCATTTACTGCGGAACGATCATCACGGACGAGGGCAAAGAGAAGCGCGTGAACATTGACTTTGAGCCTTTCCGTCCCATCAACACGTCGCTCTACATGTGTGACAACAAGTTCCACACGGAAGCGCTGGGCGAGTTGCTGCAGGACAATGACCGCTTTGGGTTCATCGTCATGGACGGTAATGGAGCGCTCTATGGCGCGGTCTCTGGCAGCAATCGGGAGATCCTGCACAAGTTTTCCGTCGACTTGCCCAAGAAACACGGTCGAGGTGGTCAATCTGCGTTGCGTTTCGCGCGGTTGCGTCTCGAGAAGCGCCACAATTATGTGCGCAAGGTGGCCGAAACGGCGACACAGATGTTCATTACGAACGACCAGCCGAACGTGTCGAACCTTGTGCTGGCCGGTTCGGCCGACTTTAAGAACGAACTGAATGGCAGCGACTTGTTTGACAAACGGCTGGCAGCGATTGTCGTCAAAGTCGTGGATGTGTCGTACGGTGGAGAGAACGGGTTCAACCAGGCGATTGAGCTTGCGGCGGAGACGCTTACGAACGTCAAGTTTGTTCAGGAGAAGAAACTGATTGTCAGCTATATGGAGGAAATTGCTCAGGATTCGGGCAAGTACTGCTTTGGTGTGAGCGATACCATGAAGGCGCTGGATTTGGGTGCCGTGGAGACGCTCATTTTGTGGGAGGACCTTCCTCATCACCGCTACGTGCTTCGTAACGAGGCTACTGGATCCGAGTCGGTGAAGATTTTGTCGCCGTCCGAAGAGACAGTGGACTCGAACTTTGTCGACTCGGATACGGGAGCAAAGCTAGAGACGGTGGACCGCATGCCTCTGGTGGAGTGGTTTGCCAACAACTACCAACAGTTCGGAACGACGCTGGAGTTCGTCACGGCGCGTTCGCAGGAGGGCTCGCAGTTTTGCCAGGGTTTTGGCGGCATTGGTGGCATTTTGCGGTGGAAGGTGGACTTTATGGAGATGGACTACGAGTTTGATGACGACGACGACTTTGATGAAGACGCGTTCATGTAGAAGTAATTATAGCGCGACGCTGCGCTTCGTCAGGGAGAGCTTCACGTACTGTGACGCTGCGGGAAGAACGAGCGCAACCAAGAAGTGAATTTCTTGCAGCGTCTGAGCGGGGACGTCGATAGATTTTGTGAGCAGGGAGCAGCACAGCGGCCGAAGTAAGCGACTAATGCAAGGCACGAATTACTAGGCTTTTGCACTCGAGTCAACATGCATGCACTGTTGAGCTAACAAAGTTTGTTACCGAGTTGTTGCTGTGTCGCTTATGCTAGCAGAAGGAACGATGTGGAAACTCTGAACGTCACGCAGTACTCTGTAGATCGACGCCGTGATCAGTAAAGCGGTTGCGACTACAGCTCACGCTCCTATCGAGCATAACAAACAGCGCAAAACGAGGTGTACGAGTCCGCTTCGTGCGATACGTCAGATCGAACCAAAGCAATGGCTCTGATCATTGAGACTCACGATGTGGACAAGAATACAGCCAACGCTCGGGCCTGCATCATGGGTAATATACTCCGCGGCCAACAAGTAAAGCCTTCTTGCACGAGAACGGAGAAACGGCATGCAAAGGTCGTCTCTCGTTGTCCTGATCAGCTGTGCCGCGTTTCCGACCAGCAGACACTTTTCGCTGCTGCATGTCGCTGCAACGTCTCTCCTATGCTGTGCATCAAAACAGACAGTGTTCGAAGTCATGTTGCCATCGTCGCTGAGTAAAATGCAGAACACTGGTCTCATTTGGCACGCAACGTTCCCAATGTCGCAGCTTTGGTGAGTGCAAAGTAGTGTGCAGTCAAATGCTGACGCGACTTTGCTGCGCCGGACGTGCTTGTTAGTCGCAACGTCGCCATCTACTATGAGCCAAGAAAGCCGATCGTTCTTTGGATCTGCTCGTAATGTCGGGTCTGCTCATTTACGCACAACACGGTCAATTTCGTTGAGCTTTAGCGTCATTTCCGCAACTGGAGTGCAAGCAGCGATGCTAAGGAGGGACCAAGCGGAGGAGTGGTCGCTCTCGAAGTATTCGTCTGTGGCATGCGAACGCGGTGCCGATCGTGATGTTAAGCGATTTTTTGTACGTGTACCAGAGTTCAGCACCGGTAGTCAGTCAGACTCTACGTGCCGCCTGCATCATATAAGGTTGCAAGTCGTGAGCTTTCGCAAAGACTGATTCGACAAAGCCGTACGGAAAGGTGACATCCCATCTGTACATGCGACGTCAAAATGTAGGATAATAGCATCACAGTCGCTATTGCGGTATGAGCCGTACCAATGCACCTCGAGGCAGCAAGATTGTGCAATAATCTCCGGACACTTACCACTATTGCTTATGCAGATGCACCAACACTGCCGACGAGGATAAGTCTCGTACCTCCATGTGGACTGAGACGTTCGATGGTAACTAAAGGAACCAGCTAACGCCATTGTCGACATACGAAACGCGACATGTAGTAGAGTCTGCCAAACAGCTTTGGCTGCTTGAAAGTTACCGATCGGCTTGCTGACATCATCCCTGCTACTATTAAGAAACAGGTTGGCGAATGTATCGCAACGCGGTTGATTGTCTTACGACATGTGCGTGACGCAAGGGCTGATAGCCAAGATAAACAAAAAGACAAGCGGATGCGAAAGGCAGAGACTGTATTGAGTCTTACGCGGTCGATGATCAAGTTTTGTTGGACGCAAAATACCAACAACAGAAGTCATGCCTGGGGTCTTTCAGACGAAGTTGCGTCCACGCTTCATTGGACCATTTACGGTCGTGGCCAAGAAGGGCCTTGCCCTTGCGTATACGCTGATCCTTCCTCGCAAGTTACGGACACACCCAGTGTTCTACGCTGACCCACTCAAGCCGTATCGCGATCCATTCCACGTTGACTTTAAGGAGCTTGCGCCACGTCACTTGGCCTTGCCACCAGCTACTTCATCCAAACCAGTATGTCAAGTTGGGCTTCAACCCGAGTTTGATCATGCTTTAACTCCTGAAGGCGAGTCTGTACCGCGGCAAGCGTACACTGGGTCCTACCCAAAGTCTCGCGGAGACACTTCGCGTCGCGAACCAACTTCTTGTGGTCCTCCACCAATACACCAACCGCCACCGGTTCTGCTCGATGAGCAAGGAAACCGCCAGTTTCACATCGAGAGACTTCTAAAGCGACGTCTTCACAAAGGCTGAAACAAATACTTGGTGAAGTGGCGCGGATACCCTGAGTCTTCGAACTCGTGAGAATTTGAGCTCCCGATACGACAAGACTGTCCGTTCTCCGTTGACGTTTTCGAGCGTCGCTCACAGGGTTGTCGTGAGACAAAGGACACTTCCCACCAGTAGTGGTGTGGGGAAGCCGGTTGCGGGTTAGCTTATGACCGGGACTCGCGGCTACCGGCGTAGCCGAAGCATAGCGTGAACGACTACGCAACTGGCCTTTGGCCTTGAGCTTGGCGTATTCGTACCGAAGCTTTCGTTCTAAACGAACATCTGCCACACTGGCACTTGTTCTCAGTGCCATCATACTGCTGAGGTGCCGAGTTCGATACACCCAACAAATGAAGTGATTATCTTCTTCTTTAGGTGATTCACCGGCGTACACGAGTATGGTGACGCCCTTGATCGGAGGAACCGGCTCACGACGTGCTTGGCTCTCAAGGAGCTCCTTATAGTGACTTTGTGTAGTCAAGAAGGGTTCGAAAAACCTATCATGCAATGCCTTGCGGAAGGCAATGTCCTCGGTCGAAGTAGCCTCTGGGCCAATGGCCCATGTCGACAGAGAACGACCAACCGTTTGACGGACACATTCTTCTACGTCGGGTGGAGCGACCACGTAGCTGCAATGGCTTTTGAGTACTCTGTCGGCCTGCGAATGGCGCAGAGGACTATCCTCTTGATGAACGATCAGCTTTTGTTGCTCACCGAGCGGGTTGGTGATGGTAGTGTACCCCACATCCAATGAATGACGCTGCGCCGATGGCGCGTTGGCTTCGCCACGTTCGGCGATAAAATTTGGATCCGAATGAGGCCGCGTTTAAGTCATACGTGGGCTGGACGCTATAAGTATATCTTCATGGACACTGGTATCGCAACCATTGGCCATATCCTCATCAAGATCGCGATAAGGGGAAAGAGTCTGAGACTCGTCA